CAACACGCGGTGCGAGTTAACAGTCGATTACACGGAGGCATTGGAACCGCGAAGGTAACGCAGTTTTCTACTTTTTATTCTTCTCCTTGCAACTAGCGCCACCAGCATGACCAAAAAATTTTGTTTTACCTATTTGCATTTATAATATTTTCGTTTTTTTCTTTTGTTGCATCGCATTCATTCTTTCCTTTTTTTTTTTTTTTTTTTTTTCCTACGAAAAACTGTTCGTGAAACTTATCTTGGCGTGACGTCAATCTTTTGTTATGCATGATCGTGATTGTATCGTGATATATATATATATTTTTTATCAATTAGTTCTAGATCAATTGTATAATACATTAATCTATATAATATTTGTTTTGATTTTATAAAGTTATAAAGTTTACCGAATTGTTAATGACGTTTGTTTTTCTAAGCATGATTTTATTTGTCATTAAATATTATATACCATGGGTAGCTTTTCTAAATAACTAGCCAGCAGGCGTGTGTGTTAAAAACAAAACTAGCTTTCCAATATGTTGCAAATTAACCTTGAGCCATAGAAAGAACTTTCTCGCAGTGCAATTGACACACGGGTTCTCCAATCGTTCGAAAACAAGTTACTCCAGTTGGGTCAGAAAAAAGTTAGCTCGATTCACGCATGTTTTGATTACTTTCATTTAGGAGAACCGACAGGACTCGACTGGTCTAAAGATCGTTTCGATTCTTTATAATTGAAACAACCATCGAACAAATAGGTACGATAATCAAGATAAAGAGTTTCACTTTAATCCCAAATGACTGACGCTTAATTAATATTTGTGACGTTTGAATTATATTCGAATATTTAATCATGTTCCAAATAAAATAAAATATTCGTATAAAAGAAAAGTGTAAAAATTTTGTAAAATATAATCGAGACGATATGTCCTTCTCCGTTGAAAAAATTATTCGAGGAATGTGAGTGATTATCATATATAATTTATCCAGTCGGTCCATCTATGCATCAACTTAGAACTCCACTATTATTTTCAAGATCATAATGTCATTGTCGTCATCCGGCGATAATAATTCGCCGTTTCTATCTACGGAATGACTGAGCGGAATAGTTTACATTGTTGTCAATTCAATGTCGACAATTTTCTTTTATAATATACAATAATTACAGAATAATTGGAATCATTTGGCAGATAAATGCTTTGTAGAACAAGTCATCCATCACTCATAATAATTATTTGCGATAAATATAATAATACATATTACGTAATATCAATCGTTATTCATCAAATTATTTTATACGACAAATGATCAAATTTATTCGCTAAAGATACAAAAATGATATCACGTTTCTTCAAGATTTTATGAAGATTTACCTATCTTTACTGCTGACAATGATTTCGATTTCTATTTATATAACAATTGCGCATCAACTACGAAAAATTAGAACAGAAGAATCGAACTACGCGTGCATTTGATAAGGCATCTTATCCAATTAGAAACTACTCGATTCATTCGTATGTACAATAGATAAGAATATTCGTCCATAAAGAAAAATAGTTTTACGATACTTAGCATTTCTCATAGTAGTAAGAAATTACGTTTCTCTCGGATGTAACAGAATCGAAGATTGTGATAGAAGAAGAAATTATGATTAATTGGAAGTTGTTTTGAAATAACATAATCACGTGCCTTATTTGTGGTAGTACGATAACGGAATAGAATTAATGAAAATATTTAAAATCTGAATCCGTAGATCAATCAAAAATCATGATGAGGCAAAGCACGCGAGAAATCTTTTTTGTACGCTGGGTTATCGCTAAGGTTCCTCTTTATCGTTGAATATTTTTTATTTACTTCTTCTTTCCTTTCCCCGACGACGCATCGTTTGCACATTCGAGTGTATTTTATTAAATCGTTTCAGTATAGTGGTACCCGGTATATAGTGATGCAACGTGGTGGAAGTATACTGAGTAGGGCGGTTTTGCTCAAACGACATTCAAGCATCGATAAAATTATCAGGTATGGTATAACCGTTATCGGTGATCCGTTAATCTTCTTCCAAAACAATTTCGGATAAAAAAAATTCGACGAGATATTTGCTACGATAAAGGATCGAAATTTAAATATTCAATCGATAGAAGTTTAATTCGAGTAAAAGTAAAAAATAATTTTAAAAATTAATCAATTTTTTTTTTTTTTTTTACTTGCTTTACTCAATGTAAATATATGTACATTCAAATGTAACGGAGTAAATGTGAAGTAGAAAATATTAAATATCATTTTCTATTTTTTTTTTTTTTTTTTTTTTTTAAGTAAAATTATTATCAATAGATTTCAATGAAAATTAAGGGAGAAAAATTAATAAATTACTTTGATAATTGTACTTTCGTAGGAAACAATTTTCTAGAATGAAAAAAATAAACTTGCACTGCCCGGGAATCGAACCCGGGTCGCAAGAATGGGAATCTTGCATGATACCACTACACCAGCAGTGCTACTTGCAAATAGTGAGTTACTTTCATAAAGATATGGTTCGCACAACTTTAAATTCTACGACGTTATTGCTATTAAAAAAGCGACAATTGTAAAACTAATATATTTAAATTAACGATAATAAATTAAATATTTCGTATCTTCTAAAATTTTTCGCATCGATATAGAATAAAATTATTTCAATTTTATAAGATATTATAAAATACCATGTGCAAATAGAAGTCTGATTAATTGTTTCGAAGACAAGTATACAGATCATTATACCACAATCGTATCCCAAACCGATCCATTTTCTATGACACAGTTTCCTTCGACCACAACCGATGCCATTCGTTACATTTGTATAATTTTCCACTTTCCTGCTCGTCGCGAGCAATTTAACAAGAAAAAAACCTGATGTTCACCAGAACATCCGTCTCCGTTCTCTAAAGCACGTTTTCTAGAAGGACGTAACCTCATTGTTAACCGCAATATTGTCCTCAAAACACCAGGTTCTCTATTTCTTCGCGAGAAAGTATCTCATTTCGTAAAATGCATAAAATAGTAATTGTTTCCATTTCCCGTGGAAAGTGCTCCTTTATATGTATCAATAGGACTAAATTGTCCTATTAGCAAAAAAAAAAAAAAAAACTAGCTAAAATTATTAATAATTTCCGCAATAAATAAATTATAACGCACACGGATTCATGGTAAAATGTTCAAAATGTTCCATCTTATAATGACTATAATCTGTCTCAATGTATATCATGTATATATATATATATATACTTAAAACCACAACTTCCAGATAAACGTTCACGTCGTAGGTGGGGAGAAAGTTGTGTCCAATCTTGAAAATAGCGAAAAATCGGCGGAGGCGTTCGTTCTTCTCTTACCCTCGAAATACAGGTGTATCATGCGTCAGTGCGTCGATCGTCGATAATTAGAATCCGTTACCTCATTGTGTAGATCTCGTTGCATTCACATAATCACGACGATGAAATAACGCGAAGTAAAGAGAAAACGCGACAATCCTAAAAAAAAAAAAAAAAAGAAAAGAAAAAATAGGCAACAATCTTCAAGTATATATATATATTCACCACACTGATGTGGTAAACATTGTGAAATAATTGCGGCAAGTGACAAGAACAATTACGGGCCAAGATAAAGCTTTATCCGTACAATCTTGTTTCTGAATTGTCGAGGCAAGAAAAAAAAACAGTTAAATATTTATAGTTGAACACGGAGGGAAAAAAAAAATGGCGAAGATAATTCGTACGTTCCTAGCGAGGCACCCACCAGTTTCTCTTCGCGGGACACTTCGATCCGCTTCTCGTCTCATCGGTTTTGCAACGCGAGTACAGGCGGCCGCAATAAATTTTGATCACTTTCATACCATAATTGCATTACACGCAACTGGTTTACAGTTGTGCCTTACGACCCGCTTGTTATATATACTTCTCGTAGAATGTATCCACTGTTTTATTATGCAATCGAAGAGGCGTCGAGTGGAGGCACCTCGTATTCGCGAGAAATATTTTCTTCGCGATTGAGGCGAGCTTAATATTTCAACCGGCGCGAAACCGTTCGACACGATATACACAGAGTTCAACAGCATACGGCCACGAAGTCGACGGCCGGAAGTCGACCGCGGTTTTATCAAGATGTAACGTTTCTGCGAGAACGATCGAGGAAAAAAGAATTAACATGAGAAGAAAAGAAATTCAACTCTCGAGGCTGCTGCCTGTCTTTCTTTCCTTCGACTTTCCTATCGAGAAACAGAAACAGAAGAAAATAGAGAGAACGAGAGTTGTCAGGATGAACGAAAAATCAAACGTTTGCTTAGAAAGAAGAAATATTATGGATGAAATAAATATGGGTCGAGTTGAACACATGATTGAACAATTACGAGCATCGGCGCAAAACATCTCTTTCTTTAAATGAATCAATTAATCGTTCGTTCGCCTTTCATTGTCGCTTTCACCGATTAGCGACTAGCCTCGTTTAGAGTGGAGACAATTATGAGACCAATCTTCTTTTTCTGAAGCATTTCTTTCTTTCGAGGAAAAGAGAAACGAAGAGAAAAATGGATATCCGAATGCACACGTGCTGTCTGAATGCCGTTGAAAATTCTCGGAACGCAAAGCAACAAGTACTTTGCTCTACGAATATAAACTTATATATTTGAGCTCCATAAAAACTTCATTCTTACTTAAAAATATACTACTCGACGATAACACGAATACATTATACGATTCGGTTCGATGAAAAATTATCGACTTCTCTGTCGACGTTCGATGAAAAATTACACTGGATATATTTCGAGGAGAAAAAATTCCCAAATACAGAAATTCTGAGATACAGTGCGTAAAACGAGGGCGTGTGTTACGAAGCAGATTGAACACTTTCATCGCAACTTGTTCGATGAACTCTTTTTTTTTTATCGTGCATATTCAGATATGTAGTTGGTACAGAATGGGGAGGGGCGCGAGTTAGAAAGCCCTAAGTGCCTTTCAGAGGCTACTGCCGGTAAAGTTGTTGCTCAGTGAACTCTGAGCCGTCGTCCATCGAGGTACGCCCGTCACTATACGTCGTTTCGTTCACCGAACGAGAATTCCGGTACCGAAGCCTCGTTTCTATTCGCCGACGATCGATTTCTATGGAAAGATCACACCTTATGAGGCACCGTGCCGCGTTGTTGCGAGTTCAACTAGTACGAATAACTGGAACGGTCCGAAACGTGCGTAAATATTCCTTTACCCGTGACGACACGTTTAAAAGCTAGAATTCTCGGCCTTGTAAGTATGCTTTCTCTTTTAAAAATAGTTGTGTGTAATTTCGCGATTAAATGTACGATCGGCCAACTTCGAGAAAGATGATTATGCCCGGCAAGCGATCAATTTCTAATCGCGTACAATATCACGATATTATTTCCAATTTGGACTTAATTTTATCCACTTTGGATAATGGGAATATCTTAATAATTTGGAATACTTATGAATATTTCTTATTTCCAGTTATCAATCTTATCAATAGCCTTAAGTTAAATATCGTTGAACTTGTATCGAGAAAAAACGTATCGTTTAAATTTATGAAAATTCATGAATTGTGATGAATGTTAAAATAAACGTTCCATTTTTTTTGAAATAGATAAGAAATATGTATAATAATAAAACAATATCGGCAATAATTAGTCTCGCTACTTATATATTCGAGTTGAAGTCTCGAAGGTTACGGAAATCGGGTCATAAGCTCGCGTTAAAATTAATTATTAACGCGAATCGATCGTTTCACTGGACTGTGCTAAAAAAATGATTAAATTATCACAACCGAAATAACACATTGTACGTACATTAAAATCAGTCTTGTTAAAAATTCGCATTATGATAGATATGCATACAATTGAATCTGTAAGTGACAGGTGAGAATTGCACAACACTTTCTAACTTTTTCGTTTGTATATATATATATATTGTTGTATATATGCAAGCGGAATTGAAATTATTTTTCGCTTTTTCCATTGAATCAAATAAATTCTACGATCGTGGAATTAACTCTGACGTACGAATTATATAATTATCCTCTCTGTTGCGCAAACTAAACAAGAAAGAAAGCTGGTGCCTCATAGAGTGTTCGAAAGTACTACGCGATGATTGCACGTCGATGTGATTAATATTGAGGATCCTGGTTACAGAAATGATCGGAAATTTCTTAATTTTTTTTTTTTTTTTGTTAGATTTCACATGATAAAATAAAAATATCACGATGATCCAAACGAAATTCTAAAAAAAAAGTGTCGAAACATATGCGTATATTTATCGAATATTCGAAATATTCGAATACGTGTTGTTTAAAGAGAATAGGTAGAATTTCAAATATGTGCAATAAAATGGACGAATCAGCAAGAAATTGATGAGGTTATTCAAAAAAGGAGATGTTCCACGGATAATGGACATGGTGAGGGAAAAGCCGAGACCCCGAAGTGTGAGCGAAATGCTCGATTGGCGATGTATTGTCAGAAACAAAGGCGACATAGGTACTGACGACACGTGCGTGAACGTGCCCTTTCTCGAGGACTATGAAAAGGATCCGGAAATGCGTCGCCGGAAACGTTCCGGTACTTGGCCGTGAGTAATACGTTTTATAATTCTTTGGAAACTAAGATTGGAAGAAGTTGTGTCTACTTCTTGACTTTGATAACTCAAGAAATATAAAATAGAAAAATATTATCTGACAGAGATATAATACATTCTAATACTTGAAATATTAATAAAATGTATAATTTATTTTATATATAAATGTTTAATAACGATATCTCATTATCAATTAAATAACGATTGTTTTTAAATAAATTAATAGTAATAATTATTGATATTTATCAAATCTGAAAAAATTTTTTTTAATATGATTTAATGACTGGGAATTGCCTGTTTCTCAAAAATTTTTAGTCATAAGTTGAATATTTTAATATTACAAAACATTATATAACATTAATAGAACATAACATAAAGGAAGAAAATATTTCAAAAGATAAAATATTTCAAATTAAATCAATTATAATTAACTATAACTAATTATTATTATCATAATATATTTTATATAATCACGTGAATGAAGCGACAGGATTCACTGGAAATGAAATGAAAAGTAAGCCAAATGTTGTAGCAAAGTTATCACGAAACCAGTATACAGCTGTTCAATTTCGTAATTAAACTGGAATCGCGCGTAATCCGATTCCAATTCGTGCGAAACTTGAGAGAAGCCGTTTGGTTGCTCAACATTCTTGTTACTAAGAGATACATCGAAATCCGTGCACTGATAATTTGTCTTTGGTGCATCATAAGCATCGAACATTTTATGATATAATATACATTATATTCAAACAATAACATGTATAATGGTTTTTGTAATTAATATCATCTGTTATATTCATTAAATATATCATTCAATTTATTATTCAACTGTATATTTTGCTTATGTCAATTTTACATTGTCGCGTAGATATGCGAGATTGCGTAAAAGAAGTTAAATAAAATCAAGAGAAAATAAATGTAGTACGATATACAAATCGAAAATTGATTGGTCGGTTGTAGTTGCAGAGCATGCGTGCCGTATATCATGCGTCGCGACGCCAGCGTCGACCTGTTCATCAACGTATCCCTTTTGCGATTGTTTAGCAACGAAACGTGCTTCCGTCTCGATTCGATTCGTTCGATAGTGATTTCTTGATCGCAAGGTTTACAACGTCAACGAAACAGCGCGACTGTTTCGCAAATCGATGCATATGGACGAAGCTGAATTAAGGTAGGACCAGGTAGGTGTTGGTTAACCTAAATCTCGCGTGGTGGCATGTGCGTATGGCACTATGATAACGGCGTGTATTTAGTGGATACGATGCGTTATTTATAATTAACTCGAACTAGTGATATATATGTAATTGTGTTTTGTGATTAATTCATGATTAATTTGTGATATGTGTTTCAATGTTTGAGTATTTTTTAACTTTTCATCGTGTATGTTTTTTTGAGGTTATATCAAAGTTCAAAAAAATTTTATGATATGATTAGTCTCTGTCATCAAATTTATCATAGATTGTGTCAAAATCAAAAGTTTACTTATGGTTTGAATCGTTTTGCAAATTTACAAATACTTTTTTGATATGTATGAAGAAAGCAAAGGGAACGGTTTGTCCTAGGTTATGTCGCATGGTAACGGATCGATTGAGAAGCTTGACATTTAGGCTGTTGCATCGTTAAGCGGGTACACATCGTCGCTCGTTCTTGCATCCCGTTGCACGTGTGCAAGGAGATCGGAGTACTCGAATTGTTGATCGGAATTCGAATTGCGAACGTCTCGATGGGGGAGTGTTTTTTTGTTATTCCCCTCTTTGAAACCAAGAACGCGTTCACCTTTCGCCGAGTATACATTCCATTTTACGCGATACACACACTAGCCATCGATGGCCCTATGGGCTCCCATAAGCTACGCTGATATCGCCCCCATTACAATCGTTGCATTGGAATTTCAGAAATTCACGTTCGATGCAATCGATTACCGAACCGAACATAGCCGTAAGCCGATCGTTTTCTCCTTTGGCAAATCAAAGCCATGAAGAGTGCCGACACAGATTGGGAAAAGCGACCATGGTGTTTTGCAAGCTTTCCGTGCAAGGAAATCTGGGCCAGGTTACGATTAGAGATATGCGATTATCGATGAATAAAAGGGTTTAACTCTTTTGCGAAAGGATTTATTCGATATATTTTTTATAGCTTCTCGTTCTCTTCTCGCTTTCTCTCTTTCTTTTTCTTTGTATTTCTCAATCAATCGAGAGAAAGTTGTGTGTCGAATAGTTGGTTCGAATGAAATCAAGAAAAAAAGTAATAATTTTAGAAATATTCACAAACAACGTAGTCATTAACAATGATTATATAGATAAGTTTTTTTTCAATCGTATTTTATACTTTTCTTAATTTTTTAACGATTCGTGTTCCAACAAATATTTACTTATCATCGATCGACGTTGATATATCTATCGTTATAATAATATATCTATCGTGTAATAAAAAATCAGAGTATAAGATTAAAATCTAATCTAACCGATGAGGCAATTGGATGTAATCTGAAGTATTTTATATAATTGATGTTAGTGTTGACAAGAACCGTGAAGTTTACGATGTACCGACGGTTCTGTGGAAAGAATCCCATAATTGTTGGCAACCTCCAGTCTGATCGTCATTCTGTGTATATCTACTTTGCGATTCAGTCCTTTCTAAAACTCGTCGTCTTCGAAATATTTACCGATGTTTAAAACATTATATTTGTGATTAATTCTTCGTCTTATAATTCTAAAAAACTTCAATGACAGTGATGTGAATGATTTGTGCGTGTAGAATAGTGAATTTCTTCGAGATCTTTCGAAAAATCAAGAAAGAATGCTGAAATTAACGACGATGGATTTGTTCGCGAAAAAATTAAAATGAATAATACATGAATGTTCATTGGTCACACATTTTTTCAAGTGGAATATTCGAAGTTGAATTCAAGGTTGAACACATTAAACTGTTATTGAAATATTGAATTGAAGTATCTTTGAAATGTTTCGCCGTTATTTGTATACAATCCGTACTTTTTTAAGACACCGACTCTATTAAAAATAAAAAAGGCAAAGATTATACGAATTAGAATCCGATATCCAATAAATTTTTATTATTAACAAACAAAATAAACAGAATAGATAAATAAGCGGAAAAAATCGTGATGTAAATTAAAAAAAATTCAATGCAATTAAAAAAAAAACATGCAACGAAGGATTACGTTTCTGAGAGTAAATCTTATTATTTCTCGGTAGTGTTCGTTCAAAGGACATCGTTAATTTCACATTAACCGGCCTTCAGATTTTAACGACTTGTTCCGTAAAACAAAGAAGCATTTTTACATAATTTTTAAAATCATTGTGTTCCCAAATAAAATATTTTACTTTGCAAATTTTTGTTACACTTATTTTGCACAAATTATCAGTAATCCTACTATCAATAGTCCTTGTATCATATAAATATCGAATATATGATATGCTATATATAATTACATGTTAATTGTGATAAGTAAGTTTTTTTTCAATGATTATATGGTAAAATTGTTAAAATGCTACGTATATATATATATATATTTTTTTAAATCGAATATTTAAACATTTTAATATATTTTTATTATAAAAATATATGTATATCCAAATCAAGAATAATGTAAAAATTGTATAATATTTTAAAAGAAATGGATTTTATAATTTCGGTCTAGTTCAATAATAATATCGTTCTCAGTTCAATAAATATCTTAAAAAATGACGGATCAAGTCTCACCTTTGTTGGATATTCAAACCAATGGCTATCTCGATATCAGATACGATCTGCTTAATCCTTTAGAAAATGGATCGATCATCTCGCCGACGGAAAGTATACCACGGAACAGAGTGCTCAGGTATAAATTCATTTTGCAGGATGAGAATTAGTTTTGATTTTTAAAATTTTTATAATTAATAATAATAATAATAATAATAATAATAATAATAATAATAATAATCATATATAATAATAAAATCATTATTTCAAAATGAATTTACTATTTTTTTTCTAACTTTTTCGCACAAAAAAGTAAAATAAATTAGTTCAAGTAATTGTGATGACTCAGTATATAATATAATTAGCATTTTTTTTCTTTAGCTAAGCAAATATCTTACGTCAATGTAACAAAATAAAGAATAATCTGCACGTGAATACATTCAAGTATATTTTATTATCATATTGTTTACAATGTTAGATTTTAATTTTAAAATTTATCAATTATATTTATCAATAAAATATCGATCGTATTATCATATATTTTCTAGAAAAATATAATTTGTAAAACTTATATACTATCTCACTGATTATATGTATATTTTTTTCTTTGGCCATTTGTTATTATCTATCTTTCAATTCAATATAAATTATTAATAATTATATAATATATAGTAAAATAATATTTTAAATTAATTCAATGTATTTTCTAACAAAAAATTTTTTTAAACTTATACATGCATACTTTTGCATATATAACATAATTGCAAATGAAGCTGCACATTATATTGTCAAATCAATCAAACCAAGTTCATATCGTCCAAAATATCTTTGTTGTCACGATGACAATGGAATTTTTTCATATTTATTAAGAAAATACAAAATGAAAGATAAAAAATCATTAAATCGTAATCAATAGAATAATCAGTAGAATTTTCTTATTAATAAGTTTAATTGTTCCGTTTTTTTTACAGGAGAACAAGAAGTTTAAACGCACCTAGTCCGATTCAACAATTTGGGCCATGCGGACGCATCATGAAGAATTCTGCGATGGTGATGTAAGTGATTTTATCTTGCGCTAATATTTAAAAAATCATATAGGATTATTACAAAGAAGAACAAAAAGTTCTTCATTTTAATTTCTTCCATTATATTCCTTCCATTATAAAAATTATACTACTACACGTTAGTATCTTGACTCAATTATCTGACAATGACTTTTTAAGCTAAATACAAATTCTGTTTTATCAATATGGGTTAGAAAGCGGTTCTATAAAATCTATTTTATCAAATATATTACTGATACAGACATTGGACATACGAGTATAAATTCTGGATATCTCAATTTTTTTCATAATAATGTGTCAATTATTTTACTATCATCGGTGATAAAATTACATAACGAAAAATTTCACAAATTATAAGTCCAATGTATCCGATCCGATGTATCATATCAACTTTATTTTATTGCGTTTTAAGCATCTCTATTATATAGAATTAATGGTAGCTGTTTCAAATTTTTCTATTTATTATATATATATATATATATATTTTTTTTTTGATTAATTGCAAGATATAATTAATGATTATTTAGCAAATACGACTTTCGTAATAATTTTTCTTAATATACCATTATTTTGAATTAATATTATTAGAAATATAAATATGAAAAAAAAAAAATTATCAAATGAATCAAAAATTAAAAATATACAATTAATTGTATTTCATTGCATATACATATATGCAAATGAAAATGTTTCAATTTAACCTTTACACTCATAATAGCGTAAGTGACTAAAGTATTCATCGAGATTTCCTGTTTAATAATTAATATTTATAATAATATTTGATTAGCGTAAGTGAGGATAATGAAAAGACAATTGCATGTGAATTGTGCGTGTCATTTTGAATATTGTGCATATAAAAACTTGTTACGATTCCTCATATGCATATTGCTCGCGCTTGCGCGCCGTCTGATTGTTTACCGTTAAAAAACGTAGCGTCGTGTTCGGTCCACGATCAGTTCGAGCGTGGCTCTCAAACTGGTATCACGTCATGGTTGGAATTATCAGGTATGTTTTTTTTTCCACATATTACTCGGTCAAAATTAATTTTATTTTCATGTTCATCGGTTCCATATCGTAGCTGATATGAATTTCGGTTTTTTAACTTTAAAAGAATTGTTGAAATCAAGTAAAATTATAATCGAATTTTTAATTCAAAACGATTATTATTTTTTGCTGAGTAATACATATATTTTTTTCAATTGTCAAACATATCCTTAGAAACAAATATCGAGATCTTATGAAATAATATTTATTTTATTTTGCGAAAATAATAAAATCTATTTAACAAAGTATAAATTTTTATTAATATAAATTTTAAAAGGTTTGTTAACGAAAGTAAATAATCAAGGTAGTCATCATATAACATATTCATACATAAAATATTCTCACCTTTGATTCCCGCGACCCTAATTCAATGATAAGCTCTACGATCGATTCTCTTTGTACAGAAACGAATTCAGGTCGTTTGCCGAAGTTGGAATTTTTATTAATATTAAATAACTATTCAGAATTTCAATTTAAAATAATTACAATACTTTTCTTTATCATAATTATATGCAATGGATATCGACTTTATTAAGGTGCGATAACAGTTTAACTCATTTTTCTTTTTCGTCGATCAAGTCGTAAAACACTTCGATATCCCAAAATTCTCGATCTTTTGTCGATATTAAATTTGACTTCATTAATTCATATCACTTTAAGTAGCAATGCTCCGTACTAAGATCCATAAAATTCGATTTATGTAATCGTCAATATTTTATCATTAAATTTTAATTTGATTTTGACTTAACAGATTTGATTTTTTTCAGGACCATACAAGATCCAGCCTCCCAGAGGTTGACGTGGTACAAGCCACCGCTCACTGTTCTGGTTATCAAAAAAGTCCGGGATTCCTCGGTACTGCCACCATTTGTACAATTAGTTACATGGCTAATAGAAGTAAGTGTATATATTTTTTATATTATCGATACTTACGTATTTATTTTTTATGCATGATAACGTAAATGATGACGATAGGAAATATTTCATACATTTTTTTTTTTGATTGTACACTAACACTTTAAATCATTATTGTGATCAAATTGTGATTAATGATTAAAATAAAAAAGCAGTACCAAAACTATGTTATAAGCAGGATGGCATATATTATTTAGACGGCATTATATCTTCATTCTTCTTTCGCACAACCATCGTAGTTATAAAATATCCATATATTCTAGTTTCCTTCATCGAGTTATTTCTATTGATTCGCATTATACATATCTTGATAGTAGTTTTCAATGTGGATTCTCTTATATTTGCAATTCTAATTCTTAATTGTAACTTATACAGTTGCAGATATATTTAATACTTATGCTAATTTTATGCAAGTCATAAAATACTATTCATTTAAAAACGTTAATTAAATCTAAATCATTCACCAAATCTTATATAAGTACTTTGCTCTTTACATTTTTGCAATTCATATATATTTGCATTAATATTTTTATATAGTATAATTTTTTAACTACATATTCATAATTATTCATGGTAATATATTTTTTTTAGCCTATTTTGACCTATTTTTCTTATTTAAAAATCAAATATTATATACGTGAATTTATAATTCGATTTACTTGATTTTTGAAATTTTTTACATAGGAAAAACGGATGGTAGTATTCGTAGAGGCATCAGTCCTGGAAGATCCAGCCTTGGCTAGGGATCTCAGATTTCAAGAGGTTCGAGATAGGTTACAGACTTTCAGAGATGGCACGGATGATCTACAGGTAATTATTTAAAAAAACATGTTTTATAATTTCTAATGTTATTTAATTAATGTATAAATAATAAAAAATGTATGTTATATACTCAAGGATCGTATCGATTTCATTGTCTGTCTGGGAGGCGATGGAACGCTTCTCTATGCAAGTTTGCTATTCCAACAATCGGTACCTCCAGTGATGGCATTTCATCTTGGTTCCTTAGGATTCCTCACGCCTTTCGAATTCGATAATTTTCAAGAACAAGTAACGAACGTATTAGAAGGTATGCACATTGAAATTTTCCAGCATAGTTTTTTTTAATTTTAATTTATCTTCGATATATCTTAATAATTCATCCATTTATCATTGGCATATAAAAATATTACGATTTGGAGGAAAATCGAGATTAAAGATGCATTAATAATAATATGTATATAATTTATTATAAAGTTAAAAGATCAATCATCAGCGCTAGATCACCAGCATATGTTACTTCAATTATGTTATTCAAAATTATTATTACTTCAATATATATAAAAGAAACGAATAATAAAAATGATAAACGGCTTATTAAAAGTTTATTAACATCTGACGATCGAAAAAAAGGTCGATAATGATATAGGTAAAAAACGGAATATAAATTTGATTTGTTTTCTTTATCTTTAGGTCACGCGGCTTTGACCCTGAGGAGTCGACTGAAATGTATCATCATGCGAAAAGGAGAGGAGAACAAGGAGACAAAACCGCCACGAACGGAATTACTGGTGCTGAACGAGGTCGTAGTCGATCGAGGTCCGTCCCCATATCTCTCAAACATCGACCTCTTCATCGATGGTAAACATGTGACCAGTGTACAGGGTGATGGCCTGATCGTAAGCACGCCGACCGGGTCTACGGCGTATGCTGTTGCGGCTGGAGCCAGCATGATTCATCCTTCTGTACCTGCGATCATGATTACACCGATCTGCCCTCACTCTTTGTCCTTCAGGCCGATCGTTGTGCCTGCCGGCGTCGAATTGAAGGTACTTTCCGAATTTTTTCCACACGAATTTTTATCGGCGGTACAGATTTCAATGCGAAACAGATTGAATTTCTGAAAGAAAAAAAGAAAAGAAAAGAAAAATAATGTGATTAATAGGATATTGTAATGAATAAAATCTCATCTCCAATTGTTCAAATAGTCAATTTAAATAAACTTTTAAACGTGCTTCTCATGTTCGTATAATGTATTTCCACGTGGATGAGATAAAAATTTCTTGTTATAGTGGAATCTGTACTTCTGATCCGGGACAATGTCCCATAGAAGGAAACTTGGTGGATGTCGCCTGCATTCCCAGACTATGCGCTACTCCGTTATTGTATTCTGAACAAATTTGAACTGTTATTCTTGAATATATAGTCTGGAGAACATACTATGTCACATACTACCTATGACATTTACATAGATAGAAAAAAAAAAAAAAAAGAAGAAGAAAATAGAAGAATTTCTAAAAAAAAATTGATGCAAAATCATTAATTTGAATTCCTTTTTTCTATCACAGATATCTGTTTCACCTGATAGCAGAAACACTTCATGGGTATCCTTCGATGGTAGAAATAGACAGGAGCTTTTTCATGGCGATAGGTAGAAATCAAATTTCTAAATCTTTAATTCTCTGTGTTTTATTACAGATAATGGCGAACAGCAGTGCTTGCAACACAGCTTACGTCTCCTTCGATGGTCGCAATCAGCAAGAACTACGTATCGGGGATAGGTCTGTCTTGTTATTTCGTAAAAGACATTCTTTTTTTTTTCATTTTCATTTATAGATTCAAAATATTCTTATTACGATATTCATTCATTTTCTTCTAAATTAAATTCTTAAATGAAATTCTTCTAAATTTCACGTTTCAATTTCTCTATATGTTTCATCTTTTCGTGATATTTGGAAAATATAACTTATAGGTATTATTAATTATTTATTTTTTTTAAGTTTCCATTTGTTAAATGATGTGAATGATGGAATATTCAATATATATACCTTGATGTCAATTTCTATTTTCTTTTCTTCTGGAGACGTTAACTGTATTGCAAGCTAGCAATACTCTTGATGCTTTATCTATTACTATTTATCATATTTTCATATCGTGTATTTAACATTAAATGTATTTAATATTTTCCTACTATTTTCAGTTTAAAAGTAACAACATCTATCTATCCAGTGCCCAGCATTTGCGCTGCCGACCAAATTACCGACTGGTTCGATTCACTGGCAGAGTGTTTGCACTGGAACGTTCGCAAGAAGCAGAAACACTTGGATGAACTGAGCGACTTGACTCATTCATCTAGCAACGATACGCTAGATTCTCTCGATCGTGATAGCTAGATCAGGCAAACGAGTCATAGACTGAACCAATACAATCACTTATACATCAAGCCCTACAAATAATTATGTTAAATCATTTAACGAATCGATAATCGATTAAGGTTCGATAAAAAAAATCAATGACTCATTGCGCACGATGCACGAAAAGGGCAAGTTGTATAACTTGTGTTCTAACTTGTGTTCGTTCTGTCATAAAAACAGAAGAGAATGAACTCGTCTAGTAATTATTAAAAGAACTGAAATATCGTACATGGAGGCACTATTAACGCGATTTACAGTTCAGCAGAACTCGAAGTTCTCAAAAGAAATAATAATATTTCGATACGTTCAAAAGTAAATGCCGGGATTGTTCGTCTTCACGAAATAAAAGATTGTAAAGACTTGTGGCTATAATCTGTGCATTGAAAAGCACAACAGAAGTGTTTTCTATGTCCAACGCATAATTCTACAGTGATATTTCACTCTAATTTGCAAAATAATTTTCTAAAACAATTTTTTTTCTTTTATTTTTTCCCTTTATCTTTATTTTTATTGGACTTAAATTAATAATATTGAATATAAAATTATAAAGTATGAAAGCATTTGAAATTCTAAAAAAGATATTAATGATAGAAATGATATCATGAAATGTATTTAAGAAAAAAATACAATGGTGCAATTAACTTGTTTAATAAAAAAGCAGAATGAATTATTAATATTCTTATTTAACAAACAAATTATTATGAAAAATAATATATTAAATTATAATCATTCATTTTATATTGTACATTCATACTTATTTATTATATTTGGGTTTTTTAATGCATTTCAAATTATGAATCAAAATAAATTTATAGTTTTTGATATAAATATATTATTTCATATACTTTGTCAAAGTGATTTTGTTAATTGCAACAAAATAAGCACATAAACATGAGAACAACTATAAGAATATTATTATCGATAATTTTTTCTGCTTTCTTCTGAAAAAGTAGTCCAATTATGGATTATTCTTTTGTAAATGTTGAATGTACTTTTCCTAATGAACATTTTTAATAAAAAAAATCATTTTTGTACAAAAAATGTGGTCCATATCAATAACTAAGACAATAATTAAAAGATTTACTTAACCATTATAAATCCTAATAAATAAAACAAAATATTATATATGATAAAAGAATTTAAAATTGAAAATAATTTAAAAAGCCAAATTTATATTAGAATGAAATAATAAATATATATAATAAAATATATAAATAAAATATATAAAAAATATATAAAGAGATCATGAAAAAATCTATAAAATTATTTCAAATATATATAAGGTGCAATAGTTTAAATGTCATAATTGATGTTACTTTATCCGTATGATCTCTGAAAAATTATACATGTAGTTTGCTCTTATTTAACAGAGAATATAAAAAAATATACAAAATAATATAAATTTCATTAAGTAAAATGTAAGGGTCAAACTTAGAATGCATTTAATACAAAGGCATTATAAGTATTGACATCAAATCATTTATTTTTGCACAACCAGGCAATTAAATATACATTATATACAGAAATTATGCAAAATTTGTAAGAATATGTTGTTTATTTCATCAAACAACAACATATTATAATAGTAAGTAGCATAATCTTTTGAATGGACCATTAGAATTTGAAATAAAATAACTGAAGTACTTTGTTTTTGTACTACACACAAAATTTAATATTTTACTTATGGTCTCACTCAAGATATAATAAAAAAAACTCTATAAGCTTTTACATTGCTTAATTAACATAAAACATAAATATCTATCTCTAAGCTCTTACATTTGGTTGCATCAGTCGTGAGCATGACTGTATGCATGTGCATTACATTACATACACATCTGCATACAAGCCAAAAATATTTTTATTAATCTAACGAATAGTCTAATTATTATCAATCTATTGATTCGATTTCACTGGTATGTACATCATACTAAATCATACTAAAAACTTAAATCTATTGATATCCGAAAAACGACACATATTGGCATGGAAGCCAGTTTCGGAACGCAGAATTACAGAAAACAATACAAAACAATAAAATACCATTTAAATAATACGCCACATTTTTAAATTAACATTTTTTCTTTTAATTAAGAACAGTCTATAAAAGAACTTTTACTGGGATTATACGTATTTTTTTTAATCATTTACAATTATTATAATTTTCGCGCGTTTTTTACTCCATCTTAAATTAATTTTGAAGTAGTGGGGGCATTCGTCTATTGTTTTCATGTAAGATCTATTTTTGTGCGCATAGAATAGTAGAAATTACTAGAATGTCGCCAACATGATTTTATATAAAAAATTTATAAAATTTTGTTGAATTCGTTAATGAGTTCAATCTAATTAATTATTCAAAAATAGCAATAAAAAATCATTTTTTTGACGAATTCACAAAAGTATCTTTGTTCGACTTAGTTATATTTTGTATTGATTATAGTTACTTTTTTCATAAAAATGCATTCTATGATTCTATTAGTATATGTTTGAATCGAGTGTTGAAGGACGGTATTCCCTGTTTTCCATAAAAAAAATCATCATTTTTTAAAAAACATAAAGTACAATATGAATAATTTACTAATTTCTTATAACATCTAAGTGTTTTTCTTCCATTTAATGCCTGCAATTGACGTACGTCTCCGTTTTGCCATTTACGATACGAACGTAACGAGTACAGGCTCGTACGAAGAGTGCAGGTACTCGCTGGTCTGTAGAAAAGAAAAGACTATTGTAAGTATTTAAGTTCTATAAAAGATAATTCCATTAACAAAATATTTGTAATTTTCTTGTCGTCATTCTAAGACTAAATCGAAATCTTAAAAAGGATATTCAGAAAAAACTATGTCTTAAAACTATCTTAAGAAATTTTTCACTTTTATATCACAAAGAAGACAGCCATTTTTGAAAAAAAATCTAGTCTCAGTATGACGAAGCTTTGTGTTACCGCCAAATCAAGACGAAAACCACATAGCATCGCCACTAAATATTAATTTAAATATTGTAAACAACTATAGTAAATAGCAATTTTTAAATCATCTACATCTACATCATATAAATCATTCCAAGTTATGACACACGGTGTTAAGTATCACGCAGTATGCAAGCAGGCAATCGAAATCACATCGGAGTTAGTATTGTTAGAGCACACACTCACATGCCTTCTGATCTGAATCCTGATCCACGCAAGACGGTTGCTGAATATATAGAGCCGGTTTCAATGGCCTGCCATCTTGATCTTCAACTTGGATTACCAAGCCGTGATTACTTCCGCTTCCATGAGAGTTTCGTGGATTCAATCTCCAGAATCGAAGACCTTGTCTAACATCTAACGCTAAATGAGTACCTTTAAACGTGAGAGGTGTCACTATCGAATCCATCAAACGTTTCTTCGCTGTTAAGAAAAAATTTATTCCATAATTTATTTCTTATAAAAAGTAGTTAGTGATTGAAAGTAGTTAGATCGATCAAAAACTTACATCGATGCCTCTTCAAAGTTTTCGTGTAATAATAGACCGATATTCTAATTTTTTTCTCATCTTCTTCTTCATCATCGAACGTACTTTCCGAAGAGAACGTCACGTTTTCTTGCGGTAATTTAAATATCCGTAATTTGGCAGCTATCACATGATCACTGGAAGTCAAGTTCAATTGAAAATGCATATTCATAGAGAATGAATCTGTCCAAGCATCTTGATCTGTGTTACGTGGAATTTGACCTGATTAAAAGAATTGGATTTTAAATATTATTCGCATTTTTTTATATAATATATTTTAATAATTGAATAACTAATTATCGTTAAGAAACTTACAAGTTGGCGAAAACATTGTCAATCTTTCTCGTTGGACTTGATTAGCATCGGTACTGAGGTTGAACCTTCCCGTCAGAGCTAAAACTCGGGTTTTGATATCCTCAATGGCTTTTTCACCTTGGCTACAAATATAAAGAAATTTTTACAAACTTAATAGCTATAAAAGATAGTCGACAAACTTTTAACACGAAACAGACAAAAGGAAAGATATATGATTTTAATCTATTAGTAAATAAAAATTGAAAATATTATAATTAGAGAGTAAATTCAAATAGAAGAATCAAAAGTAATCGAAGAATTCTGCGTGCCTGAGTGACGACGTAAAAAATTTTCACTTGGAGATACGTGCAAGCTTTCCGGCAGTAAGACAGGCTAATGGACGGTGGTCAGTGACCTACAGGGCCTATAGTGTGGGTCAGAGATATTTATTATACGTTCTAGACATTGACTAGACAACCACCGTAAGTACTAGTATCTCATTTGTCTCGTCTAGCAGGGAACTGTTAATGTATTCGTCTTGGGTCTTAAATTTTAATTTCCGTTATTAAAATTAAACATTCTTTTATTTTTCGATACTTCATAAAAAAAGTTTCAGTAATCAGCACAAGTTGAATAAATTGTACTAATCATAGAACCTGAATATATTACGTTAATCTAGATTTTATGAAGAGATTTTTAAATATATGTGTGTGTGTGTGTGTGTATAAAACTCGCGCCAATGATCAGGTGAGATTACGGGATTGCATAACGAGGACTAAGTCATTAACCGGCAGGAAAAAAAGGAGGAGCGTCTTTTCTCTGCGTCACTGGCAAGGATTGGACGCCCACTTGGACCTTTGAGCGCAGCCAATCGGGCGTCAACGACCTCGTTGTTGCTCGACAAACAATCAGAAATGATTTTCCTAAACAATCAGTTGATCAGGAATAGAATGCACAGTTAGATGCTCGAGAAGAACGTAAAAAAAAATTTTTTTTTTATTAATCTTCATCTAATTTGTCCCACTCTTTTTGCCAGGGATCCAGAAATCCCTTTGGAGAAGCGGAAGAGATATACGGAGGAGAGTACTCGGACGAAATCTCGCCACGAAATCTTGTATTCGATTCTAGACATGCTCCTTAATCTAGCCACGTCCAAGTCACGCATTCTACAGCGTCTCGTTGCGTACGTGTCACGTCTGTCTGCCGTCTGGGAAAGGGAAGGACTCGGGTGTCTGGAGGCCGTTGCATCATGAGAATGAATCCAGTGATCCTTCCCGAGTACCGTATTAAGAAAATTGGCCGGTTTTGTAACAGCGTTGTAACAGACTAACATGAAGTAACATCGACAGATAAGAGTTCTTCGACTTTTTAAAAAAAATCTTTTGTTCTTATCCGCGAAGAATAAATTTTTTGCTTAAAAGAGAAAGGACTTTTAGAAAAAAATTTTTAATATTAATATAACAATTTCAGTAAAGAATCATCGGGGAGAAAACTCGAGAAGCTGTTAAGGATTAAAAATCGATTTGAGACGAATGATCGATGATGGGTGTCAAAAGGCAAGGGAAAATGTTTTGTATACCGCAAAACGGTGAACAACGACCTGATTGGCGACTGTCAAAAAATGCACGTTGCATCGTCTGGCGGTGAAGTGGGGAGCCACTGACGAAAACTTCCTCCTCGCTCTTCGTTGCGCGTCTCGCATCATCTTTGTCGGCATAGGAAGAGAGACGCATAGACAAGGTCAGCGCATTAAATTAAAATGTGTTACATAACCTCGTAAGAGAGCAGTCCTAACTGCAGTCTGACTAGACACCCGGTGATTACGAGGGTGCTCAACTCAAAATCTTCTGTTTCTTTGGTCTATGTAACAATATTTGCTTCATCATAGATTTAAATTAAGAAATAAATTAATTTATCTGGCACATCGCATAATTTTATATCATTTTTTTTTCTTTTAATCATATTTGTATTTTTATCTTCATTCACTATCGTTATTCTTGAGTAATATGAATAATCCACTAAATGAAGTATCTATATTCTTTTTTTTTTATGATTTTTATAAGACTAAGTTTTGAAATCAAGTTAGAAAATTCTAATTCTTGATGGATTATCTAGATCACTCTGTAGAGACTCGAGGAAGAAGCGGAACGACCGGCACACCGGAGTCCTCACTCTCAGCAGGCTACGCCAGTGCCGACACGAATGCATTTACGCGTCTAGACTTAATAAAATAAAAGAAACGCCTTCGCACCAGAGGCCAAGGTGGTGGTGGAGAAGGAGGGTGATTTAAAAACATAGTTAGGGACCACAACGGAATTTCCATTATATATTTTCGTTTTAGTCTCTATCCCGGTATCTGTCTTTTTAAAAGATTATGAGCACCATCTTTGTCCGATAAATCATTTTTTTAGTGAAAAAAAAAAAATTTTTGCACGCATCACTGATTTTTACATCAAATCATTCTTGCGATTCTAAATTTTCTTGCATTGATCTTGCGTTTAGTAATGATTCGTATATATTGATAATATTACATTTACTTTTTATTTATTAGAAAAAGAAACGGCAGAGGAAAAGTTAGGAGAAGTTAGCTGAAGAAGCGATTGCTGATCAACTCGAGAGGCGAGAAATTCAGTGGCGCTCCGTGATTCTTGGTTTCGTCATGGTATTTTTACGGGCCATTGAGATATTTTTACGTAGCGGGGGCAATGATTCGTCAAGAACGTCTTTGTCGTTCAGTATTCGCAAGCAAAGGCCTGGATTATGTCGTTGGAAAATCATTTGCTTTTTTCTTCGTTGCAATAATTAAAAAAGAGTTCAACGACAACGTTTGAAGAAAGAAGAAAAAAAAAAAAGAAAAAAAGAAGAAGAAAAACGAAACATTACCTTTTCATGCAGGTACAATACATTTCCATACAAAGCATAGATTTTCTGTTATTATCGCAATAAATCGTGCAATGCGAGCAATGAGATAATCGTGATGAGAGAATGTATTTTTTAAATTATGCAAGCTAAGCTTAAAAGAAATGGGAGATCGGGAGAGCAAAACAAAAAAGAAAAAAAATTCGACAGAATTTATCTGTCCATGTTATTCGGCACACCGAGTCCCTTACCCAAAAAATGATCATAGTACCATCGGGGTGAAGCTTACCTGTCGAAGCTTGAGGTTAGGTTTCCTCTAAAAGACACAAAAAGCACATTGTATAGATACTAATTCCGCGTTTGCCGTTTTGCAAAGCAAGACACACGATGAATGACATTTAATGTGACATTTAATGAATGAGAAAAAAAATCGAGTCGTCCGTGTTTTGAAATTTTCATTTTTTTGCCTATCGACTCGAATCTATGAGCCAAAATTCCGATTAAAGAGAGAAATTTGTCTCGAATTGTGTGAAAATGAACATTGAATCGAAGCACAAATTGGAAAAACGTAGAACTATAAAAGATGATTTGATTATTTTACTTACCCTCGTCGATGAGCAATAGCCACTTGTAGATATGACGATAGATTCGCCAATGGAAGATTGCCGGCAGAAATGTTATTGTTAGACACGAAGAGCTTGACAGAATCAGGAGTGTCGTTCAAATACCCCAACGTGCTGTTTTCGTTCTCCTCTGTGTTCCAATTTAGTCGGGAATCGTGACTAGAGTCTTCATAGTCGGACGTTTCGTTCTCCTCCGTGTTCTCGAAACTAAGGGAATCCACGAATTCGGGGAGTACTCGGTAAACATCGTCTTCGACCCATTCCAGCCCTTCGTACTCGTTAATTTTTTTATTTTCATTAGTTTTCTTCTCATTTTTTAAGACAGATACTTTATCGGTAGAATTGACGATACGAGCGTCGATATTCGTTTCATTTTTGTCAACGTTTGAAATTTCGTCTGGCACGGTAGTACTTTCCGTGGTAGTAGTACTACTCGATGTCGAAGATGCGGCTGTAGCGGTAGAATAATTTTCATTATTCAGATAGTTACTCCTAACATTGATGCCACTCAATTGATAAACCAGAGGTAGAGTAGCGACAGTAGTAGATGAAGACATCGATGGCGGTGTCGATACATGAAAGGAATTACCGGCATTTTTTAAACTCGCGTGTCTCGTTGTCGAAGAATCGTGATGTTTCCTAGAACGATTTTTATTCGTTTCGTCCGAGCTGGAATCGAATTCGGAATCATCGTATCGAATCTTGAAGACTACGTGAGGCTCCATTACCCTGTCAAAATCTCGATGAAGATTATTCGCGATATCTTCCTCTTTGGAAGGTTTGGTAACCTCTTCGTAATCGACAGCTGCAGGCTCCGACCAAGATTGCTGAAATTCCACGTTCGATGGCAGATTCTCGTAATCAAGGATCGCCTGTCGATTATACGCCTCGAAGTCAAAATCCTTGTAGGAAGGTGATCTATCCACGTGCCGGTTCCTCTTACCTTCTCTGTTACCTTTGTTACTCTCGGAATCAGGGTTTTTCGAAACGGAACGATCCGTGGATTTTTTACTCCAATTATTATTTTTACCCTTCCTTTCTCCATCCCCTTCGTATAATACCTTTGCCCAAGATTTCACGCTCTCCTTCTTCTTCCTCAATTCCTCATCCTTCTTCTTACTCAATTCTCTCTCGCGGATCGCGAGAACTTCCTCCAAGCTATAATTTAGACTTTTCAACAGCAACATATCACCCGTGCTAAGATCGCCGGTGATTATTTTCAAGATAGCTTTCTCCAGCATCTTCTCCAGCCTCCTCTCGCTAAAAGGGACCGTGCGCCCTTTAATATCCTCGCCCTTCAAGCCCCTGCCGTGCTTTTCGCCCTCGGACGGTACCACGTTCTTATTGTCACTGGCCGTGTACCTTTTCCCGTGCTCCATCGGGTCCCCCTTTTTCTTATCGTCCACGTGGACACCGCGATGATGATGATGGTGGCACGACACACTGTTCATAGTCGAGACGACCAACAGCAGCAGCACGAAGAACTCGAATAATTCCATGACGACGACGACGACGATAGGAATTTTTTCGTGAAAGACGGGGGAGAAGGGGGAGAAGGGGGAGGGGGAGGAGAGAAGGGAGGAGAGGGAGGGAAACTCTCACTCGTTCGATCCCTTTTTCTGTGTAAAAAAAAATTGTATACGTAAGGAAGAGACAGATGGTACCACTTTGCTCATCGACAAATGCGGCCACTGTTATCGCTCGATGGATGCCTCCATATTTACGAGGGATTTTTACAACCCCCTCGAACAGGAGGGAAAACACGGTGGTGAGATGTGTGAGAAAGTGTTCTTTTTTTCTTTTTTTTTTTTTTCCTTTTTTCTCTTCTCGCAAAACCGCGTGCGTTGTACCTATACCGTATCGAAACGAAACCAGTGACCCAGAGAACGATGAGGAATGAAACGGAATGAAGAGGTTCGGCCGCGGTATGTCCGCGTTACGAAGAAGTGTTAAACAAACTGGTCCGTGTGATACGGAGTGGCGGCGGGTGATCGCGGACTAGTCTAATCGCATCAGGAAGCCGCGGTATATATGTAAGTAGGAAAGATTCGTGGCATGCGTGTGCACGGGCTGAGCAGTAAGTCTCAACTGAGCCGAGCTGGCCTGCTCACGGACATAATTCTGTCTACTCACTAATTCCGAGACAAGCACGAAGCCGCGAGAGGAGACGCGCCGGTGTTACTACGATCATTCGTTTTTTCTTCTTCTTCTCCTCCGTCTCCTTTCTCTTTCTCTCGGTAACTCTGTCCCTCTCGCTCCACCCGCCGCGCGCGTGTGGCAATCCCTTTCCCTCGCTCGCCGAAATCCCGCGGACGACCGCCTTTTCTCTCTCTCCGTGACGCTTTATCGCACCCGCCTCTTCTTCCACTTTCTTTTCCTTTCTTTCTTTTTTCTTTTTTTTTTTCTCTCTTCTTTTTTTCTTTTTCTCCGATCCTCGCCCGATCTTCGCTCTCGTCAATTTTTCAACGTCGGTTGATCATTCGTTGTCCCACCGCTCATTTCAACCTCGCATCGAGGCGCACCAAACCTAATTTCCCGCGGATCTTTTTTTTTACGCGCGTATACGGATACTCAACGTCGATATTATTTTGTCGGCTGGATCGAGTGTGACAACCGAGGAATTTTCACACGCGGTGAAATGTATGTATCGGTATATGGTCTGGGAGGAGGCGACGTTTTCACGCGTTCGGGAACGCGAACTGGTGGAAGAAAGGAAGGTGGCTCGCGGGGGGAAAAGGAGGAAACGAAAAACGGAGGCGAGGAGAAGAGGCGCGAAGAAATGATCGAGGAGGCACCTTGTATTCGGCTGCTTGTTTCAGGGGCAGCCACGTACGACTTTATAGGGTGTCTCCCTCTCCACCGTCTAGACGAATCGAAGATATGATCTTTGAATCATAATGTATCGCTTTTAATAAATGCAGCCTCCGCGTGCGTGCGTGAAAATACGATGCGTGGCAAAGCACGTCGACGACGGGGCCCAAAAAGAAGAACGGGAACGAGGAAAGAGGGGAAAAAACAAGCGGAGACCGAGAAGAGACCGGGGAGAAGAAACGAAGCGGGACGAAAGATGGAACCCGTGATCGGATCGGTCATCCGGAATCCGTGTGAAAATCCATAAATTTCGCGAACGAGAGAAGGAAAGAGATTAGAAAGGTCGCGGTTGACGTAAATTGTCGAGCTGCGGATCTGTAAATTAGGTTAAAGGATTCGGTTCTTTGAACCTGTTTACACCGTCCATCTCTCCAGATGTGGACAGATGTCGGCTGGGATATATTCGAATTCGCATTTCCAAATAAATCGTTCTCGATATTTCCGATACAATCGTAATCGGGGCTAGGATCTATCTCGGGGAAAAGTTCACGTTTAAAATTCTTTCACGTTAGATCGCGCTCATCTATTCTCACCGGCCGATAACTTTTAATTAACGATATATTTCTCTCTCGATAAAAATCTCCGGAGAACCGCATTAAATGACGTTACGAAAAGATCTTAAAGATGATTTAACAACGAACGGTTTTCCCTAGACGAAGGATGAATTTAGATTCTCGTTCGCCTAAACAACTTGGAAGTCTTGTTGTAACAGAAAACATTTCTTACTTAATGATCGATTCCTTCCTTTTGGCGGGTGGCCATCGTCTCGGATAAACATTTCCATCTCCTTCTCCTCCAATATCTCGTCGCGTGATATTTGGAAAATTTTACTCGAATCTTTCCGATCGAGTCGAATCGGCACGCAAGGAGGATCGCCTAGACGGTGATAAACAAAATTCGACGAGGTCGAATGAAATGAGAGAGAGAGAGAGAGAGAGGAGGAAACGAGAGAGGGACACTTGGCTCACCCCCTGTTGCAGCAGGCCACGTCGTCGCCGCGTTGACCGATGCGTTTGGATCACGCGTGCATATCATCGCGGGACGCCGCGTTACACGTAGACACGTGCACGCATTTAAATGTAGAAAAGGAAACGGCGGCTGAGGGATCGGAGAAAGGAAGAGGAGGATGGGGACGAAAGAGAGAGAGAGGATGCAATTTGATCCGGCGAAGAGAGGCAAGTCGGAATCGTCCGAATCTCTCCGACCACGGTGCAATACGGCCATGTATGACGTCACCTCCGAATCTTCCGTCGCGATTCGGACGTACGGACAGACAATCTGGCGTCTAGACGTACCAAAATAAATAACACGGGGCCTTGCCTCGCCATCAAACTGTTTGCAATCGTAATACTCATCCGTCGGCCTTGCGGGCCCCTCGTTCTGGACAGGGATGAGGAATAGAGCGGAACCGTGGTTCACAACAAGTGGTTCGTGGCCATTTCGTATTATATCTGAATCGGCCGATTAGCAACACATCAATTTCCAACGAAATTAACCAAGATTCTAATTATTCGAGTTGACGGATCGTTGTATCGAATATTGGGTAAAGTCTTGAAAATTCGTTATCCGATATTGGTATTATTGATCGTATAATGATTAGTTTTTCAGGAATGATTGGAACCTTGCTGTCAGTTTCCGGATAACATACGCACAATTCAATTACAACGTGTTGTTCATCGCAGTCAGATCATCGGTTGCGTTGTTCGATCGATGTGAAAAGGTATCGATGATGGTAATCGGATGGACAGAGCGTCGGACAGACGCCAGAGTAGGTAGGTTCGATGACTTTCTTCGCTGACCCAAAGTTCGTCAAAATTTCGGTCAGCTCCCAGATTTTCTTCGGATATCGTGACGCGAAATGGATTTCGGATAAAGGTATGGATCGTGGTTTATTTTTTTATTTTTTTATTTTTTTTTTTCATTAGGCCTCGTGTCTGGCGAATCGAAATCGAATCGAAACAAAATAAGGGAATGGATAAGAAAAAAAGGAGAGAACGGATCAAGCGCGTATATATATATATTGATTCAATCAAAGGTGAGAAGGCGTATTCGTAGAAAATGAAGAAAGAAAAGAAAAGAAAAGAAAAAAAAAAATGGAAATGGTGCAATTTGCTCCACTCGGATACATCTCTCTCTTCCTCCTTCACCTCGGCGGACGCAGACGATTATCGAGATAAGGAATACCTGGAATCCGACCAGGAGAGAGAGATCGGTCCCTGCTCGAGCTTCGTGGAAGCGAAATTTGAATTTCGAATCGTATTGCGCAATCACACCCACGCATAGGTGCACTCGTTTCGAGGAGGCCTCGCCATCGTACGTGGGATTGTATAAAATTGAAAACAACAGATCGTTCCGTGTGGGGGGGAGGGCCACCCTTCTTATAATGTTCCAGCATTTTTTATCGGTCGCGGAGATAAAATATTCTAGCATAATCCGAACGATCTAGCCGATTCACGGATTTCACAAGCGCCGTTACATCATAAATAATTACAATAAATTCGTCTTTCGCGTTAAAATTTTCGTCTCGTTTCCTCCTCCACCTCTTCTTTTATATTCTCCTCCTTTCTTTTTCTCGTCACTGACTTTTCTCATCCCGATCGATAAACAAACGTTAAAACGAGCGCTATATTATAACGTATATAAGATGCAAGCCTGGCCGGTTAGGGATCGGAGATAAAATAAATTCGCTGTCAGAGCAGAAATTACCCCTTCCAGCGCGTCTATCCAGCGCGTGTCCAGCGCGGATAGATTAATTTCCAGCGGCTACCGAGCTTTCGGATCGGATGATCGTTAACCAAGATAAGGGAACATCGGAACTGACGTGGATATGATAAAGGGCGGAATCGGACTCCGTCTCATCTCAGGGAGAAGAGTCGCGTGCTGCGCGCTCTGAATTCGTCGCATTCCAAGTCGCAATCTCGACTGGGCGAGACGAAGGCAATTTTAATGCGCGCGCTTCCATGTATTTTCCCATCCTCTACGATACGAAATTGTATCGCTCGCTTCCCCTCCTCACTATCCACGATTCGAGGAGAATGAAATTAAAAATGCATTGCGAAAATGCATTATTGGCGATTTAAATCGATACATATGTCATCGAGAGGGTTCGACTTGTTCAGGCGCTTTGGTCAGGTTACCTCCCCCTCCCCCCTTATATTCCAATTAGAAATGCATTAAAATTGTCACGAGGAGTAATTTAAACTGGGCAGCCGTACATGATAAATCGTTCGTCGAAGCGATCGTTCGAAACTTGTTCCCCGATTGTTCTTCCGTTGGCTTGCTCGGTTTTTTCGAAGGGTTCCTCCTCTCTCTTTTCTTTTCCTTTTCCTTTTTTTTTTTTTTTTTTTTTTTTTAGATGTCGCGCAGAATCGCGGGAAAGAAGAGAGGGGCGGGAAGAAGAACGTATTTCGAGTATCTTCAATTCTCTTCGGTTCTCGTGTATCCGAATCTCGGTTCTAGGACGGCAGAAAGATGCGATCTGGTTTACTGTTTCCATCGTGGCCAGCAACTACGCATTTCCGCTCGTTGAATTCCTCTGTGGGAATGAACGGTGTTCGCTTGGATCAGATACGATACGTTCGGCTGAACCAGATCCATGTACCAGAATCCGACCAAATCGCCGATCGTAGTGCAGCCCATGGTTTTGTTTCTTTCTTTTCTTTTTTTTTTTTTTCCCTTTTTATCTTCCTGTACGATCGCCTCCTCCTTTCCTTAAGTCTCCTCCTGAATTTTTCTCAATTCCCAATTCTTTCTTTCCGCATCGGAGGAAAAAGGTGTGCGCGGATAATTGATTCGTGGTAAATTTTCAGGGGTTCCAGCCGCACTCCCTCGAGAGAGCATAGTTGCTCGAGAGCGGGAGGGAAGAGCAACGGCGGCTATGGCTCCCCGCCCGCCTTCGCATCTGTAACGCCGATGTTTATCCACGAGTTATGCTCGTTCGGATTTCGCTATTCTCATCGAGTTTGGCGGCGTGCCAGGGACCTAAAACTGGCTTGCTTAACTTCTACTACGTAGAGCAGGAAAATAGAGGAGGTGTGCGGAATTATCAAGGCCAGTTGGAGTCGAAATCGGCTTCGAAAAATGTAAATGTTGCGCGTGAGCGTACGTCAATCGTTCGTTTGACGCGACTCGATTTATCTCGGAACGAACTCTCCGCTCTATTCGTATTCTTAGAAACAAATTCCCTGAAATTCGAATTTACATACGTGTATATACGAGGGGAGGGGGGAACGAGGATAGAAGGAGGATAGGATCATTAGGAAATTCGTTGCCGCGTAGATGTAGATCAAGGACGATCCGCGTTTCCTCTTTCTCTTTCGCATCATCTGTCGATCCGTCGTATAGTGCAACGTCTAGGAAATCAAATTTCTCCGCAGGTGGAGGAGAGTCGGATAGCGGAGAGCGAAAAACACGCGGGCCTGGTTTCCTACAAAAATTTATACGTGACTGGTGGTCGAATTGCTCCAGTCTCGTCTCCCGTCGCGTCTCGGTTCTTAGATAAGAACCGCGTCGTCATCTTCCCGATTCCGCCATCCTTTTCTCAATCTCATTCTCCATCGAATTAAACCGACCGACGAAAAGAAAAGAAAACGCTATCCGCTCCTATTTCTCCCGATCGATTGGATCGATCGAATTCGAAACGAGACTGCTTGCTCGAACGTTTTCTTAAACTCGTGAATTTCGTCCCCGAATCGATCTCCAATGTTTTCTTTCCGAGAAACACCTTCGAACGATCTTCCACGCGCGCGCGCGCGTCCATCCAACAAATCTTCCTCTCTCGTTACGCTCGGATAAAGCCACCTTGTATAATTCGATCGAAATGTCGGATTTCGAAGGAGAAAAGACAAGACAATTACGACGCGTTTCAACTTCGAGATCCGTGGATACTTTTGTTGCAAACATTTCTTAAATAAAAAATTGGAAATCGACCGATTACCTTAACGTCCAGCAATTTGTAATTACTATAATTACTCGATGATTCCTCGTAAAGGTCAAATGATAAAGTGCTATTTTTTTTCGAGCGAGAAAAGATGTGCGTGTCGTTTTATAAATTTTGCTTGTTTTAATAATTAATAAACAATCGGGAGGACAAGCGCGATTGCCATTATTGGCAATACGATTACAAAAAAATTTAACATTTTAATATTTAATTATTTGTTTCTTTCGAATATATTTCACGGAAATCTTCTTTCCTTATTCTGGGAGGAAAAAAGAAAAAAAATATAACTTCGTCAAGGCGATTCGATTCCTTGGTAAAAAAAAATTCGTTACACTCCTCTGTAATTATATCCACGTCTCTCTCATTGAGCGCTACAACTCCCACGAACAAGTTTCCAGGTGCATGACTAAGCTGCAATCCTTCTCGCGCATGACAATTATTTTTTATCGTCCAGGAAGCGTCTCGTAATTTCCTTCATCTCGTGGCAGTCAGATTAGACCGGAGTCTCTCTCTTACCGAAGTGTGTCTATCGGTGCGTGTTCCATCCAGAAACGTTCCATCTGAATTGCGGGCGGATATCGTCGATTACGGGCACGGTTTTCCGGTTTGGCCGGTGCGTGTTCCAACGACTCGTGCGTGGCTAAACACGGCGGAAGAATTTTGATGGACCGCGCAAGAGAAAGTATCGGCGGCCCCTGTCGCGACGTTCACCCTGTTAAATTGCGTTTCGCGTCCGATCCTTCGCCCACGACCCGTTACGACGACGCGTCGTCACGTGACCGACGACGTCCGTGTGAAAAAAACGGCGAGGAATTTTTTTCGTTCGAACGATACAATTGCCCTGCCTCCACGAAATTCATCGGTTCCTTTCGGATTCGGGGCTCGTAGGGCTCGATCGATGGACGAGGCATTCGAATCGAAGGAATCGGCCGAGGAGATTGTCCCTCGCGAGAATCAATTATTTTATTTTCGCGTTTTCGTATTTCGCTTCTTTCCATTAATTCCCGATTTGCTTTCCTGCCGATTATTCACCTTACGTAAGAGATATTTTTCTTCATTTTTTATGTTTCGAGATATAGTTTCGCTCCTCCTTCCCCCTTCTCGGCGTTTTTTTTTTTTTTTACGTTTTACTTGCAAATTAATTGTAAAAGGTTATTATGCGCCGAGCACGTGATAAACAAATTACCTTTTTATCGCACGGAATTTCGCGATAACGGCGCTTAACCCCTGGTTCCCCTGCTCGAGTCGAGGTCGGTCGCGTAAAACGAGGTCAATTGTAAAATCTTGTACTCGAAATCCATTATTAGCCTCCCCCTACTATCTAATCATCGAAGCACCGTCAAACGGTAATGATCCGATCTTTAGTGATCCAAGAGACTTATCTCGGTGCACGTGAACCGTGATATCGACGGCATGATAGTATATATAATGTTAATAAGAGATATTCGGTGTCAGTAACATTTTTTCACTTATCCAGTGACGAATCGTGATCGAAAATTTGTAAAAAAAAAAACTTAACGTTCATAGTTTCGATTCCAGTCGAAGTTGACGAGACTTTTCTGCAGTATGTGATGAAAACTACATAATTTTAATAAAACGATCGATACAATCAATGTTGAAAAAATAATTGACGGTTTTATTTTTTTTTTTTTTATTGTGTTCAGAAGAAAATGATTGTTTTACAATCGGTTTAGTATCTTAAACGACCGAAATTACTTTCATCGGTATCATCGTATATTTAATCAGTTATCATTCCATTTATAAATTATTTATGTTTAAAAATTATATTCGGCTTTGTACGAATAATTAAACTTCACAACTTGTTTCTTTCCATTTCCTCGATAAGTATTACGTTGGTGACATAACGAGACATGTCTGCAAATCCAGTATTCGAGGTATATTTTATATTTTATATTTTTCTTGCGCGATATCTCTATTTAATTCAATCATAATTATATGTACAAACTTTTCGATAAGAGTAAACCCTTTATAGCTTTAACTTATCAGTTATCTTTTATGTTAATTCAGATATAATTTCTAAAAAACCTATTTGTTCGATTGAAGTTAAAAAAGAAGCTCGTTAGCATTTCCACTATTTTTAATTAAGTTTCTTTATTTTTTTCTTTTTTTTTTTTTTTTTTTTCTTTTTTTTTAGAACACCGAGTTAAACGTGTTAGAGACTGGTCATCTAACAAACGAATCGATAACGGAAAACAAGGTATGTGACATTCTTGTTAAAGAATGCCATTGTTCATTACAATTAATCGATGATTAGTTGATTCAATAACCTTCTTCGTTTAAAATATCGAATGTTGATAAAAAGATAAAATTACGTAGAATTAAATTTGTTGCGAGGTATTATCTTTGTTATCGCTTGATTATATTTAATTATTATATTTAATTATTGTATTTTTTTTAAGAACTATACCTCTTCCAGGAGACAAGAGAAAAATCAAGTGATTACGTACAATCGGTATACGATGCATTGGACAATTTCTTTTCGAAGCATCGTCAAATAGTTCAATTTTTCTTGATGACTCTAGTGAATTTAATTGTATTAATTTATTTCATTTTTGCCACGATATATTGGAAAAATAGTAAGTTGTCATGAAAGCCATGAAAATTTGATTATTTCGTTTTTACGTTATTTTATTTTTTACATTATTATAACCCAGTCTTTGTTAGATTACAACTACTTCGATTGGTGCCATGGTTATGGCTTGCTACTCCTTATATTAGTGGTCGTTTATGGCTCAATTTTTTATCATTATGCCTTGAAACCTTTTTTTGGAAAAATATTCGTTTACTGTCATCGGCCATGTATCAACATCATCGACAATTTTCAAAAGATAAAGTAAAATATTCATTCGATGGACGAAGTAAAACATTCATTTGCTAGCTAAAAGTTTCTACTAACTATTTTATGTTACTTTTTTTGCAGATATGGTAACATCATCGGCCAAACAGTAATTTATACATGTATCTTTGCTGCTATCATTGTATTCCTTATTATCGACACTGCGAACTCGAGAGAAAGATTAATGAGTGGAATCGGAATCATCGTATTGATAAGTTTAGGATGGTTATTCTCAAAGCATCCTAGTCACGTGAGTAAATCTTATTTAGGATTGATTTTAAAAGCTATATTAATCAATTACTTTTAATTATTCTTTTTTCTCGAAAATAATAATATAAATGTTTACAATCTCAGATTCTCTTTGTTTATCATTTAACATATTAAAATATCTATCGGAACAAATGGAAAAATAAAGGATAAGAAAATAACAGCTGTAATTTTTATAAATTCAGATAAAATGGAAACTCGTCTTGAACGCGTTGATCGTGCAAATTATCTTTGGTCTTTTTACAATTCGATGGTCCGTTGGTCGATCTATTTTCCAATGTATTGCCAACAAAGTAGAATCATTTCTCAACTTTGCAAAGATTGGTGCAAGCTTCGTATTTTCCGATAATCTAATCGCAGATGGTATTTTTGCTTTCACTGTTAGTGAATTTTTTGCTTTTTGAAACCATTGAACGAATTCGTTATTCTCGCTAATCAAGTATTTTTTCTTTTAGGTTCTGCCTGTGCTCTTTTATTTTAATTTTATCATTCAAATGTTATACTATTTAGGTATTATGCAATGGATTATCTTCAATCTGGGTAAATTTCTGCAAAAACTCATGGGAACTTCGATTTGTGAATCAATAGTTTGTGCTGGAAATATTTTTATTGGAATGGTAATTGGTATTATATATTGGATTAAGATTTTCCTTAAGATATTGTGACAATCCATTCATTTACAGACAGAAACACCGTTAATGATCAAACCTTATTTGAACAAATTAACTACCTCGGAATTGCACACTCTCATGAGTTCGGGTTTTGGTACCGTTTCAGGTGAATAAACAGCAAGCGATATTTAATTGATTCCCAAAGAAACATTAATCTCATTTTAAACTTAGGAACTGTTTTCGCCGCATACATTAATTTCGGTGCAAATCCTGCTCATTTGATAACCGCTACTTTGATGGCAGCACCAGCAACTCTCTGTTATGCTAAATTATTTTATCCAGAAACTGAAAAGATCGTAATTACTTCCGATAATGTAAAATTAGAAAAATCGTAAGTTTGTGAATGATATAATGTAATGTATGATTCTATTTTATCGAATGTATTAATTATCAATAAAAAAAAAAAAAATTGTTTTAGTAAAGACACTGGTTTAATAGACGCAGCGAGTAAAGGTGCTACGGCAGCAATTCCTTTGGTTTTGAGTATAATTGCTAATATTGTTGCGTTCGTGTCCTTTATCGCGTTAATAAATTCTCTATTGTCCTGGATAGGATCACTAATTGGTTATGAAAAATTAAGTTTCGAAGTAAGTGAAAAAGAAAAAAAATAATATGAAGAAATAATCGTTTGCAGATATTATTTTACTGAAACATCATCATTTTTTAGCTTATATTATCGAAAGTATTTATACCTATAAGTTGGGTTATGGGAGTACCTTGGGATCATTGTGAGGATGTAGCAACTTTAATAGGTTTGAAGACTACAGTAAATGAGTTTGTCGCTTATAAAGAATTGGGAAAATATAAGAAAGAAGGTCGAATTTTTGGTAGAATCGAGGCTATAGCTACTTTTGCGATTTGTGGTTTCGCGAATCCTGGTTCTGTTGGAATTACTATAAGCATATTGACTTCTCTGGCTCCTGATAAAAAAGAAATTATAACCAATATTGTCATGAGAGCCTTCATTTCTGGATGTGTTATTACGTTTCTTACAGCCAGTGTCGCTGGTAAGATTTGAAAGATCATTCTCGCATTTTAAGAATTATTTTACTAATAGAGTAATGTTTTTTCAGGAATGCTGGTACCTGATGATTACGAATACATAAGTGCATTTGTATCAAATAGAACTCTTAGTTAATATTCTAGGTTATTATGTTTGTCGATTCTAAATATAAAATATTTGTAAGATATATGTAAATAGGTAGGATGAATAAGAAAATCTACATTGTTTCAACTTAATTGATATTAAGATATCATCCTATTTGTTATAATATTAAAATTTCATATCTAATGTCCCATAGCCATACTGATTCTTTATAAATTATACAATTCCCGTATAATAAATAATCTAATAAATATATAATAAATGATTACAATATACATAGTACGAATATGAAAACTTAAGCTAATACATTTTGCACGTTTTTGATAATTATAAATACGATAGTGTATAGTAATAAGTAAAGTATCACAAAAAATTAATGAGATCGATATTCAATGTATGTATGGAATTGATATATGCATCACATATATGGAATGTTTGCTTTCTCAAGCACCAAAAAGTAAGTGCATTATTCTTCTAAAGATATTTTTATGGTAGACTATGAAGTTGATGAATTTCATAGAGATTGTGTGTACGATTGAACACGTCCGCAGTTACTTCTAACATTTTTGGCAAGACATCAACGTTCCTTTGAACGTCTGAACCACAGACCTAAAAGAATTAATTTCAGAATAATTTATTAATTTTATAAAATTAAATTTCAGAATAATCTATTAATTTTGTATAAAAAAAAATATAAATATTAACCTTCTTAAATAAAAGTTCTCTCGTAGGCATTGTATACATGGCAACCACTGCAGCCTTTCTAATCACCCATGGATGGTGCTTAGCTAATGTTTTATTATAAGCATCTTGACAACAACTGGATGTTTTATCACTATCTGAAAGATCGCCCAATTGTCTTAAAAATTCTCTAATAAAATCTGAAAATTTAAAAGTGATATTAGTATATGAATTAAAAATAAATACTTATAAATAAATTTTCATACATTGTAGTACCTAAGCCTCTATGAAGCCTCAATAATGTACGAGCTCCATTCGAATAGTCTCCCTTATCTAAAATTTTGTTTTCTTTCTCATATTCTATCATGGTCTTTATTGTACCATAGTTTTGATCATTTTTATTGATCAAGTCAATCAATATCTCAATCTTTTGCTTTAAATCCGACGATACAAAGCCAAAAACACTGCCCATCAATTGAAAAAATCTGTGTCACAAATGATTATACTATACATATGTTAGAGAGAAAAACAAAGATAGGAAGTGCTCATTTATATTCATTTATAAAATTAGGTCAATAAAAGATGTTACATGTATATGGCATTGACATTATCATTACTATTTGTTTTTAAAAAGATTTTTAAGTAAATTTTACGAAGAAGAAATCAAAATGAACACTAACCAGATAAAATGTTTAGCTATTAGCTAAAAGGTTATATGTAATAAAAAAAATACAATCTGTTATCGACTTACTTGTAAAGTTCATTATAGGCATCCAAATAAGCTTTGAGATCAATATCATCATCTTGAACGAGAGCTCGGTCAAAATGATCGTGAACAAGTCTGAGATCAAAATACATTAAATCCATGCCTTCCGCCATTTTCGTGTCACTATATTTAATCGACTACTGACTTGCTTGCTACGTGCTTAAATCTTAAGCTGTGTTATCAAAGATGACATATTAATTAAACATAGTTGGTGATAAAATGTATTAATTGAAAGTGAGATAAGATGTTAATAAAGTTAAATTGATAAGCTGCATATTTAAAAATCAATCACGTTTTGTTTTTAGGCTAAATGAAATTTGATTATCAATGCTGATAAATTTTAATATTATTAGAAGACATTTTTATTATAAAAATTATATTAAAAAATTTAGATACATAGAAGAAGCATTTTTTAATATTAATGCGATTGTAATAAATTTTATTTTTTGATCCAGTATTTAGTTTCACATGTTGCGGTTTCAATTCGACATTCTTGAATTTGTCGCTTTAAAATCGTAATAATCGATACCTCAGTTTATCGAATATGGCGACACGTGAAATGATAGGTTAACCTTTCTTAAAATTCATTTTATTTTTTTATTTAAACTACATAAAATTAATTATAAAATTTATCATATATAATATTGCAATTACATTATCATATTGAGATATTGTATGCAAAAATATGATTCTATTTTTATTATCATGAATAAAGAATAAGGTTATATATATTTTATTTTAGACATTTTATTAAATAATTATTAATGTAGATATTGAAATTTCTTCATATTTAAAATCAATTTTAAATATGTTTTAATGTCATGTAATATCTGCTTATAATATTTCATACTTTTATTTCAATTTTTATGACAAATAAGTTTAAAGAAAATTTTGGGAAATTTTGCTTAGCTAGACACGATTCATCTATTGTGTTATATTTTGATTCTTCTGATCTTTTTGATTCTTTTGATCTATTTATATATAAGAATGATAAATAGAAAATAATATCAGTTCTATCATTTGAAAGTGATTGCGCAAACTTGACAGATCTTCAAAGCTTTTGTTATTGTGTATAATCTTTAAATTATTGTGACAAGAATATAAATTGTAATACTAGAATGTAAATTGTAATAGCTTCAACATATGCGTTTTATGTATATTATAGTACATGAATCATATTGTTCAACAAGTTCTCGAAAATTCTCAAAAAAACAATAAAATATTTTTTTATTAACAATATTATATTTAATTTTAGCAAAAATGAAAAATGTGACATATTATTGATGATATATTATTAATTAAAAATTTTATAATATAAGATTTTATTTATGTGATCAAGAAATAATCAAAATTAGAAAAAATTTACAATTTCTGAATAAAATTTCAACTATATTCATTCGTTTCATATAATTAATTCTATTAATAATTAGAAAACTTCTATAATTTTTTTCTGCAAATTTTATATAAAGTATTCTTTTCTATTTCATTTATTCTTCTTATATCTTATATATATTTAGTTTAGTTATTTCAATTTATTAATATAAGTTTGTTGTATTATTGAATCAATAACGTTGGAAATAACATTAAAATGATAAAATGGTTTTAGAATATAATAAGATAAAAAACATGCATACAGTACAATAGATTTATACTTTATCTTAATTATTATATTTTATTTTTCTTTTTAACTAGAAATTATTTTTCAAACTTGATATGATTTATGGATTTTTAGTCTGTTTAGAGGCTTTCAAATATTTCCACGAGAATTGCCATATTGTTATAATCTCTTTGTTCTGTTTTTTCCAGCTCAATTTAATTGCAAATGAATGATCTTCATTCCAAACTTGTCTTCCTTAGGTTCGCCAATTACGTCAATTTAGGTTTTATCGCTTGTATTATCGCATATTCATCTGCCTGAGTTCCATTCATGCGAAAGGAATAAATGCGAAATAACGTAAGGATACTTTTCTTACTAATTTTTTTTTTTTTTTTTTTACAATTTTATAATTTCAAGAATTAAATACTGTACAATCTTGCTATTTTCAGTTTACTATTAATTAAAATCGAAAATCGTTCAACCATGAACTTCAAAATGTACACTAGTAAAATCGGCAATTACCTTTATCGGTAACACGTAGAACAATGATACGAACAAAAGAGTTTGAGAATCTGGCTGACACTAGACGTATGACTAGATGTATGTTGGTAACTGGTGTCCCTGGGGGCGTTAAATAATTCACCGCAGCTGGGACTGAGGGTTAGATAAGAGGCGAAGCTTGTGGGAGGGCGAAGGAGGCAAAGGTTGAAGGACCGATCAAATATTCAGGTCTACTTCAACGCGGATGGAGCTAAGCAACGTCGAGTATGAAAGCGTAACCGAGAAAGAAAAACCTACGAAGTCGGATCTAACCGTGTCTGATACCATTTTCGCTTCGAAAATATTCGCGCTGCTTACGAATTACCGAATTGACGTTCCGAAATATATTCAGGAGTATTCTATACGTCTCAGCTCTTTTTTTTACGATGGTTATCCATATCTAAGCAAGTGATCTCGCGAGGATTCAACTCGAACGACCAATCACGCTGAGACGCATAAAAATGTGTCACTGGGGTGTTGTAATGCCGGCCATCGAAGCTTGTCAATAGCGATTTCACCAATCGTCTTGATAGTTACGATGTGCTACGAATTCGGTCAACTTCAGCATTTTTTTTCTCCTCTCTCTCTCTCTCTCTCTTCTCTCTCTCTCTCTCTCTCTC